CTCATGCTTCTTGCTCTGGAAAGACAGCTATTTTTCCAGGACTCATTTCTGAGAAATAAGCATCACCTTAAAAGTAGTTAAACCAGTATACTGAATAGCCCCTAATAAGAATCCTAACAGATCAATAAGAAGGCAGACTCAAGGAAACACATGCCTTGAAAATAGTATAAACTGTATTTATTTTATAAAAATTAGTATTTCAACACAAAAATTTACTATCCAAAATCCAACATCTGTCCTGGCAGTTGTGGCAGTGTTACACAAATCTCATGTTTTCTGCAAAGCAAAGCAAACATGCTAGCTGATCAACGCATCATCATATTAAAAAAACTATCCACAGAAGTCCTTTATAGGAGCATCAGGTTATTTTTTTGCATAAGTGATTTTCATGGCATGAGACGGAGTAATTTTGAATCCTTGCAGAGCATCTCGAGCAGCTCCTGCTTGATTCTCATTTTCAAACTCCACAAATGCAATGTCATGGCGCCCAGGTACCAAACGTACTTCTTTGAATCCAGGAAACCTTTAAAATAAGGTGAAAGAGTCAGATAGTATTTCCTAGTTTGATAATACATCTCTCCTCAGTAACCATAAAACGTTATTATAAGCACCTAACAGTATAATAGTTAACTACTGATGAAAGATTAAAATTGAAGGTTTTTACATGTCCAGTCCTTAGAACGATGCCTCAATAAAGGCTCATTACATGAGCAATTTATTCAGTCTTGTGCACATACAGAAGCAACTAGAGCTAGTTTCAAAACTGCTCCTGCTGTCATAGTCTTTAATATTACAGTCACCAGCTTAAATCCAGTGCAGATTGATAGCTGATAACTTACACAATCAAAGCCAGCTACGAAAGAAATCAGACTTGCTTTCTGCACCAAGTCATCAGAACTGACATCTGTAATCTTGGCAGTAAGACAAAGAACTGAAATACCTTCAGAAGAAACTCCTATTTTTAAAAAGTCAGATTGCCAATTCGGAAAACGCATGCAGGTAAAAGAAGAATTCAAAGGAGAAGTCCTTTCTATTCAAAACTTACTGATTGAACAACATGGACAGCATCATCTCATTTGTTTCCTCAGGCAAGTTATTAAGGAAAAGTATATAGTTCGGTGGGTTATCAGGCACCTGCAACAACAGAAGATCAAATCTAAAAACAGTAGACACAGCTATCTGTTCCTCTGCATCTATCTGCACAATTATCTGAACCAAGACTCGCATACCCTTCGTTTTGCTCATAACACTGCTAGATGGACTTCAGTATAACTTCATGCAATATGCAGCCATAGCCCCTTGGTTCTTTTACAAGGATGTATTAATTTGGAGAAGCTCTTATTTCCACAAAAATCACAATAACATCTTGTCTTGGTGTCATATTTAAACTTGATAACTCAACAGCTGATACTGCACTAGTCTCAGCACTGAAGGGGTGTAATCAAAGTGTCTTAATGCTGGCAGGAGTGCTGTCCAAGACACGTGCATGACGACAGAAGAACCTATGAAAGACTTGCACCCTTCTGGAAGAGCAGTTAGATGTCAAGATAAATACCCTGTTCATCTACAGTAGCACTGAAATTCTGAGTATCTTTTGGCAACTAAAACCCATAAAACACATACTACAGTGTTCTACTCAAATTTATTACTTAGAAACCCCACTAGAT